GAGAGAGAGAGAGAGAGAGAGAGAGAGAGAGAGAGAGAGAGATGTGAGAGAGACGCATTGACTGGTTACCTCCCATACACACCCTGACCATGGCAGGAGATCGAACCTGCAACCAAGGTATATGCCCTGGGCCAGGGATCAAACCAGAGACCCTTCGAACTGCAGGTGGACGCTTTAACCATTGAGTAATTGGCCACAATCCCAGCATATTTTTAAGCAACATTTTCTGTTTTTAAAATAATCTTTATTGTTGAAGTAATTATTTCCCCCAGTCATTGTTTCCCTCCACTGTTCCTGCCCCACCCCTTCCCCATCCCACTGTCTATATCTATAGGTAAAAACCATCACTTCCCCCTTCCTTCTGAGATTCATCAGTCTGTACCATGCTTCCATGCCTCTGATTCTATTTTATTCATGTTTATTTCATTCATTATATTTCTTGTTTATTTTGATTTTTAGATTCAAATGTTGATAGATATGTATTTGTTGCCATTTTATTGTTCCTATTTTTTATCCCTTCTTCTTCTTCAAGAATACCCTTCAACATTTTATGTAATATTGATTTTGTGGTGATAAGCTCCTTTAGCTTTTTCTTATTTATGAAGCTCTTTATCTGACATTCAATTCTAAATGATAGCTTGGCTAGGTAGAGTAATCTTGATTATAGGTTCTTACTGTTCATCACTTTGAATATTTCTTGCCACTCCCTTTTGGCCTGCAAAGTTTCTATTGAGAAATCAGATGACAATCATACAGGTGCTCCCTTGTAGGTAACTAACTGCTTTTCTCTTGCTGCTTTTAAGATTCTCTCTTTGTCTTTAGCCCTTGGCATTTTAATTATGATGTGTCTTGGTGTGGGCCTCTTTGGGTTCCTCTTGTTTGGGGCTCTCTGCACTTCCTGACTTGTAAGTCTATTTCTTTCACCAGGTAGGGTAAGTTTTCTGTCATTATTTCTTCAAATAGGTTTTCAATATCTTGCTCCCTTTCTTCTTCTGGCACCCCAATAATGTGAATGTTGGTATGCTTGAAGTTGTCCCAGAGGCTCCTTATATTATCTTCATATTTTTGGATTCTTTTTTATTTTTGTTCTTCTGATTGGGTGATTTTTGCTTCCTCATATTCCAAAAACATTGATTTTATTCTTGGAATCCTCTACTCTACTGTTAAATCCCTGTAAATTATTCTTATTTATTTATTTATTTATTTATTCTTGTAAATTATTCTTTATTTCAGTCAGCGTATGCTGAATTTCTGACTGGTCCTTTTTCATGTCTTTGACATTCTCACTAAGATCCTTAAAAGTCTCATGAAGATCTTTGAGTAACCTTATAACCATGGTTTTGAACTCTATAATCAGTTGTTTGCTTGCTTTCATTTCTTTCATTTGTGACATGTTTCTTTGTCTCCACACTTTAGTTGCTTCCTTGTTTTTATTTCTATATATTAAGTAGATCTTTTCTCTATCCTGGAATTGGTAAATTGACCTCATGTAGTAGGTGTCCTATAGGGTCCAGTGGCTCAGCTTTCCCAGTCACCTGAGCTGTGCACTCTAGGTACACCCCTGTGTGGTCTGTGTGCACAGTCTTGTTGTAGATGAGCCTTTATTGCTGTTGGCTTCATTGGAAGTAATTGGCCTCCAGGCCAACTGGCTGTGAGTACCAGTCACAACTACAGTGGCAGAGCTGCTATTCAGGAGACACCCCTATGGAGCAGGACTTGCTTCAGTGGGGCTTTGGTGCTCACTAAGTCTGTGTCTTGAGCGTGTCTCTTGCGGATGTGTAGAGTTGCAATCTACTATGGTCTAAAGCTGTCCACAGGGTGCACTGGCTCTAGGGCCTCCAGACACTGCCTGGGACCACCTGACAGGAACTACAGAAAAATCTGCAGACTGCTGCTCTTTGCTATTTGTATTGGGCTTGGAGTTTCCCAGCGAGGCCCAGCTGTGAAGCAAGGTAGGCTGGTGCTGGTGCTAGTGCCAGGTCTTGGGCCTTTTATTGATAGGTTTGGGGCACACTGTCACCAGCTTCAGCTTGTTTGAGAGATTTTAGCAAAGTCTGAAGCCTGAGCCAGGACAAACCATTCATATGGAGAAGCTGCTGCAAACAGCTTGGATGGGGCTTCACATTGGATGGGGCAAGGTATCAGGGGACATTTTCTAAGGAGGGCAAAACCAATGACTGCCAAATGGAGTCTCAGAAAAGAAAGAGATTGGAAAATGATTGATTACAATTGCAATTGACCAATAATCCTCATATTCTGGTCCCTAAATCATTACAGAAGAGTTTAAATTATGCCACTGTTAAAGTCTGATCTTTACCTTTATTTTCAGCTTTTCTTTTTTTCCCCTTTTATTCTATTGGTCACTCTTTCTTCTCATCTTTTATCCTTTTATTTTATTCCCTGAATGTCTTATATCAACTATAGCTTTCACAGATATTTCTTGGCCCTTAAAGTTGGCCCTCAGGGATAATTAAATGCTGAGCTCTGCTTTAACTTATTCTCCAAAATAATCTAGATAATGAGGTTGTGCATGATGAATTTTACATATCATGGACTTTTTATTGTTGTTCTTATTAGATCTTTAAAGACTGCCTTAAATGCTTAGCTTTTTATTTTTTTTATTTTTCTAAATTTTTCAAACTACTTTTCAGTCAATGTTTTCTCCATCCTCTTGATTCCTGGAAACTATTCTAAGTTAGAAAATCTACTTCATTTTTTATCCCTGTATTATTTGTTCTCAACTAAATACTCCAGTCTACTCTAGCCTTTTTTTCTGTCTGTTTCTGAGGATACCATACTAAATATTTTCATATAATGTATCCCACAGATGAATAGAAGACTGAAATTTCATAGTCTAAGCTAAGCTGTATTTATTATAGTAAATATTTGCCTCTGATTCAGAAGATCTGTAGAAGAACTTAAATTCTAGCAGAAAACTCATTTTTCTTTATCAGCGTGATAGGAATTTCTACTGTCATGAATGAGGTCTCCTAATAAGCTACTACTAGGTTTTAGATTTCTTATATGTTGCTAATAGTGCTGGTCTTCCTCCAGCTTGGTGACAGGTCCAAACACTACATATGTTATCACTTCAGAGGTTTAGGGTGTACTGATGGAACTTTATTTTTAATATTCATGGTAAACATTCAGCCAAACCTACTGTAGATTTATAATAGCACTGCTGAGTCTCTTTCCAATATAAATAGCATAAAAATCCTATTTCCCAGTATCCCTGGAATAGACTTTATGGTAAGGTTTTCTGAGCTGGAATAAAAATCTGTTATCCATTGTGGCTTTTGTATTTTCTTTCTAAGTTAAAGCAATAACTTATTGAGCTTTTTGTTACTGATAAATTATTTTGACATATGCTGGATTTTTTTCAGTGGATTTTGGAGTGAGTGCCCAGGTGAGCAGAACTAATGGTAGGAGAAATAGCTTCATTGGGACACCATACTGGATGGCACCTGAAGTGATTGACTGTGATGAGGACCCTAGACGCTCCTATGATTACAGAGTAAGTGCAAGGATGCAGATAGTGAGGATACAAATTTGGAAAGGGCTTTTGACTAATGTTTATTTTAAATGATAAAATAAAAGATTAAAAGGCAGGCAGCTCCTCCTTTCACACTAAACTCTAATAGGAAATACCAGCCACTATTCCTATATGCAGAAAAATAATATTTTCTAAGACTGTAGACAAATTAGACCATTGGGAGTTCTCCATAGTTGAGGAAGAATGTCTAGTTCATGCTGCTTGCAACTTCTTGGTAAAATATTATGTGGCTTTATATGGAAATTTAACTTTCAGGGATAGAGGGCTTTTTAAACTTAAAAATGAATAAATGTAAAGTCAATTATTAATCCCTACAGTAATTTAGCTCCAAAATGAAAAACAAATAATTTCATTGCTCAGGGTGATAGAGAAATCTTTGGCATGGTTCACCTCCAAATCACAGAAAAACAGTAGAAGAGATGAATTAAATAATAATTCATGTTATTAAAATTTTCACTGAAACTGCAATTTGGACAATATACATCTATGTACACATTTCAAAGAGCTAGTGTAGAAATAAAACTCTCCATTTGCTATAGACTAGAAAAACTACACTCACTCCTCACATCATAAGTCATTCAAATAATTCACTGTGGTTTCATTTTGTGTGGAACCAGGACTAGACACTTGAAGTTGATTAATGCAAGGTTCATCTCTTTTCCCTTTCCCTTAAATGCCCTCTGTTTGATCAGCAAGCAGATCTATTGAAAGCTTAGTATATAGTCTAGTGCTATTAGTAGCTATGGAGATGATGGAAACATATTGTTCTTTAAGTAGCTTACTGTAAAAATAATGCTTTATAGTTGTACAACTGAAGTCTTCCAAGGATTTTTCACAACATTAATGATTTATTTTTAATTTTTAGCTTCATATAACTGAAATAAAGCTTAAACTTAGACCATCACAACAACCCTTTGAAGCTAAGAGATCTGTAAACTGGTGCTCTAATAATTCAATTAACTTTATTATTGTAGCCACACAATGTACTTCTAGCCCCTGTGCCATTTCCTCATTCGAAAAACAAAATACAATTAATAGCATTAAGGGTAATTTCCTAGAAAATTCTTGAATATAATTTTTTAGAATTATAATAATTCCATCCTCAATTTACCATATTCAAGGAACTTTAAATACATACATACAT